TTTTTTGTTTAAAAGCAAGACCTGTAAATGTGTAACGCATCAAATGAAACATATTATATTAGATGCTAATTACTTCAATGTCATTACTATTTATTTTGCTTGCCTAACTTTAGAGCAGACAGCTAAAATCGATTTTGGGTTGTCAGTTGCATGCTCAATCAGTATTTCTTTTTCAGTGCATGGACTATAAAGGTTTGCAGTTGTTGTTGTTGTCGGGCTGACAGCGCATTTTAATGCAAATGATAAGTTAGGGTTACATGGTCATCAGTGTTACATTTGTACAGTTATTGCATTTTAACTGTTCAACGTGTTACAAATAAACAACTTTATACTTTTGCTATGTGTCTGTCTTAATATCAGCTAGAGTACACAGGCGACTGTATCATTTATGTTACGAGTGTACAAGGATGAATAATAGCCTTCAGTAGTAGAAGAAATAGCCTTTTTTAAGTACACGTTGCAGCATTGCACTAGGACCTAGGTCTTTCATTTAAATTCATTAAAAGTGAATGCATTTACAGTAACATCCTATGAGCATCTTCCTTTCAGGATTCTTAATCCTAATAATTAATTTCAGTGATGAATGCTATGCATGATGTAAGTCTATAAAAACAACCGTTCAGTAAATGTTCCGTGATCACCGAAATCTTGAGAATTTGTATTTACCGCCATTCAAATGACAGCGAGTGTTTTCCCCCAAAAAGGGGCGTGGTCTTGCGTAGAGGTAAAGTACCCGGATGCGTTGTTACCATCTATTAACACATGATTAACCTGCGCGTGCGGGAAAGAGCTAGCTTAATTGTGTTGCCAACAGCTAGCTACTATTGTTTTGATCTAACTCAACGTTGGAACTTAAGCATTTATACAATATTATTACTTTTCCCACAGCCGTTTGCTTTTTAACTAGTGAAATGATAAAGTTAAACTGTGTTCACCTCGACAGGTTTATGGACGACTTCTCTCTGCTAGAACAGGTACATAAGCAAACGTTAGCTAACTCACTGAGGGCTAGTTAATGATGACTGCCGTCTTATTTATTGACCTGTTGTACCGTGTGTTTCACTTTGTTATACTTGAGGATAAGTTGAATAATTTTTATTTCTCACATACAAATAAATACAGAGGATTAGGAGGCTGATATTAACACTTAAAGTTATTTTAACCGCCGTCATTTTCTGACAATATCAAAGTAAAAACGGAATGCTATTAACGTTATGTTCAAAGAATATGATTACTATTAGCTAATCATTAGCTAATGGTAATCGTTAGCTGCTAATGTTTGGTGTGTTTGTATGTTTTACTATTTATTTTGTGTTTAACGTCAATTTACGTCAGAGTTGAGAAGGTTACTAAAATGTATTCCGTTACTAAAGACCTGTAAAAAACATGTAATCAGTAACCTAATGTTAGTGTATTAAGTTGTACCTTAAAGTGTGATTGAAGGAATGATATGATATCGTGAAAAAGGTCAGGGTATCGTAGTTATAAAATATTGTCAAAAACAGTCATATTATAGTATGTTTACGTTGAAAAGTTGAAATCTTGCTAGAAATATGTACCAGTAATCTGTAGACAATCTTTAACATAACTGTAAGGGAATATATTTACCTTTTTTTGTATCCTATTTACATAACCGTTACATGTAAACCATTACTACCCGAGCATGATGTCAGCTATCAGTAGGCTATAGATAAATAGGTGGGTAGGTATATGTAGAGTATTTACTCTTGTTTTACTTTTTTTTTTAAACAGAAAATTGCAGAGGTTAATGGCAAAAATAACATGTTTGAGATCATGCTGGAGGATGCCAGTAGACAAATGAAATTCTATCAGACCAAAGAGAAAAGTCTGATTGAGGGTGAGTTTTTGTTTTTGTGTACTCAACACTACAGTATTTACTTCCTAAGATCTGAGATCCTTGTTGAGCTTGATTCTGTTTGTGTATGTCTCCCTCTACTGGTACGGAAAAATCCAATTCTTAATTTCTGCAAATGTGAAGATGGCTGATATATTAGGAAACATTATTTGCCCTGAGGTTCAACGATAACATATTGATGAAAGTATTCTTCAGTATATTGTGCACATTTCTGCTGCACAGCTCTTCCACTCTACATCTGGACAGACTGCCATTATTTGTATAGTTTATCTCCTTAAAGCTAACTGTTATATTCTTATTGTACTTTTTTTTAAGTCGTTCTATAGTTACTCCCTTTTTACAAATGAATACCTTGTTGAAGACTGCACATACATTTCTCCCTACAGAAATTCAAGCTTTACATTTTAACATCCTTAAAAATGTTCAGTGGTGGCATAAGCTTTATGTCTCATTGAGTTTTTTTCTTTTATATCAGAAGCCAATGATATACATATGTATAGTTGCTAATTATTGGTCTACTTGTTGCAGAAAGAGACAGTCTCCTCGTCACAGTGAACCGGCTGCAGCAGACTCTGCAGGAGCAGTGCAACCTCAGAGGTCTGAACAATAAGCCACTACACACATGTTCCCAACAAATGCAATTACCTATACAAAAAAAAGTATAATCCTATGCACCCATGTATGTACAGGCTTAAAAAAAGAGTTAAAAATGAATGTCTTCTAATCTACTTTCAATTAATAGCTGGATTTAATAGCACTGCAGTTGATTCAAATCGTGCTTTGAAAATTTGTGAAAATTGTGATATTTATTCAGAATTACACTGTTATCACACTCAGCACCATTTATTTATAGTATAGATAAAGGGATTTTCATAATGGTTCTTCTGAATATGTCCATATTGTAGTGGAGAACGAGAGACTGAAGAGTGAAATGGCTAGCCTGAAACAACACAATGAGAGAGCAGCTGAGGTAAGAAAGGAAGCAGGAGGAATGTTTTGTCAAAGGTGACCTATCATGCAAAATGCACATTTGTACGTGTTTGATACATGAATATGTGTCCCCGGTGTTCCAGGGAACTCACCAAGTGTCAGAAAACACAACCCTCTCTATTTTCCTCCATACCCAAATCTCTTAAAAAGGGGCTGCAACGGATCTGATACAGACTGATCCAGATTTGAACACTTCTGTGACGTTACAGAAGTGGCGCTACGGCTATTGGGCCAACTCCACCAATCAGGAGGAGACAGCCACGGACATTGCCGTTCGAAAGCGCTGGAGACGCTGTAGTACATATGCCCAGGCCTTTAGATCAGGGGTGGGGAACCTTTTTCCTCTCAAGGGCCATTTCAATGTTTACAATATCCTCCGAGGGCCGTACAAGTTATTGACCTCTGCT